CGTCTGCCCGGGATAGTTTGAAATCGCGGTTTTGTTCGTCCCACTGGGTATCCCAAACGATCTGTCCCTGCAATCCCCTGGGCTGGGCTACTGTGCAAGTCTCGTTCAGTCTCAAGTCCAGCCCTCTCAAGTCTCAGGTTGCTGGTTCAACAACGCACCCGGACAAGCGCGCCCTGTGGGGATTGCTGGGTAGGGCCGGCCGCCGCCGCCCCGGCTGCCGGCTTCGCCAGGCAGACCTACTGCCTGGCGTCCCGTGTCTTTTTATACTTGGGAGTTTCCCCGTTCTGTGGGCAACAAAAATCAGTCTGGAAATGCAGCACTGACTCACCGTTTGCGAATTCAACGCGGGCTCCAATCCTGGGTTGTTCTCACAGCGCCATCTTGAGTCCCCTCCCCATTATGACATTCTTACCTGTTACTTGGTAACCAAAATATGGTTTACCTCCAATATAACAGATAAACTATTTTCTCTATGCTTCAACTCAAACCAGTTATGTTATTCTTTTTGCATTTGCTGGTTGATTGTTGGCACTGGTTTCAATTACTTAATTATGACATTATACTACCAATGAGATGAAATATTTTTGCTCCATGTAAAGATGGAGTTTATGTAGATGGTTTACAGTTTGCAGAGTTCTAGGCCATTAGCCAGGAAGGATTCTGCAAACAGGAAAAGTAGGAAAGTAAAACTATTCAGTGAATGAAAAATACAGGGTGAAATACATTTCCATTAATACTATAACACATTTATGGACAATGCAATTTTGGCACATCTCTTTACCAAATGCTGTGAATGATTCATAAAAATCACAAGAATTCAAAAAGTTTCAATATGGAAGAGAAATAATATATACACTAAGAGTCTTTATTATATTTAACGTTTTGGGGTACATGTGCAGATCATGAAGGATTGTTACATAGTTATACATATGCTATAGTAGTTTGTGGCATCCATCACCCTATCATCTACCTTAAGTATTTCTCCTAATGTTATCCCTCCCTAGTACCCCAACCACTGCTATCCCTCCCCTGGCCTCCCAACCCCCCGACAGGCCCTGATGTGTCATGCTCCCCTCCCTGTGTTTATGTGTTCTCATTGTTCAACACCCACTTATAAGTGAGAACATGTGGTGTCTGGCTTTCTGTTTTTGTGTCAGTTTGCTGAGGATGATGGTTTCCAGCTTCATCCATGTCCCTGCAAAGGACAAGAACTCAACCTTTTTTATGGCTGCATAGTATTCCATGGTGTATATGTACCACACTTTCCTTGTCCACTCTATCTTTGGTGGGCATTTGGGTTGGTTCCAAGTCTTTGCTATTATAAGCAGTGCCACAATAAATGTACATGTGCATTTATCTTTATAGTAGAATGATTTATAATCCTTTGGGTATATACCCAATAATGGGATTGCTGGGTCAAATGGTATTTCTATTTCTAGATCCTTGAGGAATTGCCACACTGTATTCCACAATGGTTGAACTAATTTACACTCCCATCAACAGTGTAAAAGTGTTCCTATTTCTTCACATCCTGTCCAGCTTCTGTAGTCTCGAGGTTTTTTAATGATTGCCATTCTAACTGGCATGAGATGGTATCTCAATGAGGTTTTGATTTGCATTTCTTTAATAACCAGTAATGTTGGGTATTTTTTCATATGTTTGTTGGCTGAATAAATGTCTTCTTTTGAGAATTATCTGTTCGTATCTACTGCCCACTTTTTGATGGGGTTGTTTGTTTTTTTCTTGTAAATTTGTTTTAGTTCTTTGTAGATTCTGGATATTAGCCCTTTGTCAGATGGGTGGGTTGCAAAAATTTTCTCCCATTCTGTTGATTGCTGGTTCACTCTAATGATAGCTTCTTTTGCTGTGCAGAAGCTCTTCAGTTTAATTAGATCCCATTTGTCTATTTTGGCTTTTTTGCTATTGCTTTTGGTGTTTTAGTCATGAAGTCCTTGCCTATGCCTATGTCCTGAATGATATTGTCTAGGTTTTCTTCTAGGAGTTTTATAGTGTTAGGTCTTATGTTTAAATCTCTAATCCATCTGGAGTTAATTTTGGTATAAGTTGTAAGGAAGGGGTCCAGTTTCAGCTTTCTGCATATGGCTAGCCAGTTTTCCTAACACCATTTATTAAATAGGGAATCCTTTCCCCATTGCTTGTTTTTGTCGGGTGTGTCAAAGATTAGATGGTTGTAGGTGTGTGGCATTATCTCTGAGGCTTCTGTTCTGTTCCACTGGTCTATTATCTCTGTTTTGGTACCACTACCATGCTGTTTTGATTACTGTATTTGTATTTAAAATGCATGGCAAGCCAACATAAAATTATACGAATTCACTATACCTTGGGAGAACATATAATGTGTATGCAAGCAAAGTACTACAGAAACATTAGGAAATAGAAATTTTGACTTATGCCTCTAGGAAGGCTTTTAGAGGTGGTAACATCTGTGCTGAAATAGGTATCTGGTATCTGTGAAGGGCATGAAAAAATGAATAAGGAATCATTTACCAGCTTAGCAAATGTTGAGCGTCTGTTTTTTGCTAGAGAACAGTGTATGGTAAAGATAAAAGCAGTTTATATATTTTTGGCTCTCATGCTAAGGATGTTAGATTTATTTATATGTTTAAGGAATAATGAAATGTTTCAAGTGGAAGAGTGAGGTCCAGGAGAAAGGAAGGTTAACCCTTAGATTTAATTGAGAAATTTTTGAAGAAAAAGAGCTCGGTTGAGATGGGAAATTGTGAGCGCTGAGGTTTGAGATGGTTATGAATAGTCACATTCAAAAACTGTCCGAAACAGACTGGAATCTTGGAATGTGGGGAGGGGGAACAGTACTGCAAAATTGGAGGTCATAATACAGAGGTGATAATTAATGCCAAAGAGATGAATGAAATGCCGAAGAAAGGGAGATAACAAGGAAGAGAGACAAAGAGAGATTAAGAAGGACATGAAGAGATAAAGAAGAGTTCAAGGAATGCAGGGGGAAAAGGGAAAAAATTAAAATGCCAGAGGCTAGAACCTCTTGGAATCTAATATTTTAAGGGGCAGTAGCATGGATAAAGGAAGCTAATATTAAAAATTCTGAAACACAAACCAGGAGGGGTTCTGTTTGAGAGTTAGCTATCATTACCAGGTCTTTGGGGACGTTTGATAAAGTCGTTTTCCTGACTGTGGCAGCAAAAGGCATAGTGAAGCATGTTAAAAGTCTGAATAGTAGAAAAGATTTTTAGGAAAATGTGTAAACACTCTTACAAGAAATTTATTTTTTAAAAAAATAAGAGAAAAATGATTAAAGATAATAGAATAGTCTAGGAGAGTTTATTTCTTACTTCTTTGATGAGTGAATCTGAGTAGTTGTCAGTAGATGGACAGATTAAATGCAAAGTTAAATGAAACAGGGAGAGGCTAAAAATGCAAGCCAAAGACAGCTTAACACAGTTGTTCTTAACTGGGTGTCATTTTTCACCTCCTCAGCTGAACATGTTGTAATGTTTGGAGACATTTTTATTGTCATAATTGGGAGGAAAGTGTAACTGGCACCTAATGGGTAATGCCAGAGATGATCCTGAGCACTCTGCAGTCACATGACAGTCCTTCTCCACAAAGTAATTCAACCCCAAATACCAATAGTGCCAAAGTTGGGAAACTCTGGTTCAACTAAAGAACCAATGCCTCATAGTAGGTGAAAAGATTAGAATCAAGAGCATATATTGCGGGAATTCCCAGTTGTAGCATAGTGTCAATGGCATGGGTTTTATATTTAGATCTGAAATAGTATGTTGCAGTATGTCAAGAGCTGGCCCTGGAGTCAAATACCAGGGTTCAGATTTTAGTTTAATGACTCTACAGCTATGGAACTTAGGGAAACTGCTTACCATCTCTGTATTTCTGACTTATTATTATAAGATAAAATTAGTAAGTGCATTTACCATGTAGTGTTATGGGAAGATTCCATTACTATATATTGAGAACTTAAAACAGTGCCTGACACTTTAGTGCTTAGTATATGTTAAACATTTTTTTTAATTATCTGATTTCAAATCCCCATTAAAATGTTCTGACCCTTACTAGCTGTCTGACTACAGATTACTAAACATGCCTATTCTTTGTTTTTCTCTTCTGCAGTTAAATAATCACTTTTCCAGAGGTCTGTTGTAAAGATCACTTGATAAAACATGTGTAGGCAGTAGATGCTATCTAGTAGCATCTGCACAAATGCAATCTCTCTTTGCCCTTTATTTGTAAATTTCAAAATTATGATTCATCATTAACTATAGTTAAATCTGCCTCAATTTTTAGTTTAATACATTGCATTTGTACAATAAACATTTTCATAAGGTAGAGTTGATTATTTTATGTAATAAATGCACAAACTTGGGGAAGGACAGCTTTATTTTAGAAATGGGGAAACAAAATCAGTCACACATAGGATAAAGTGATTATGAAATATTTCAGAATTCTCTTAATTATTGCCTTCTTGTATATTATAGACACTGATTTATTGTTACCAATGTGTTAAACAATTGTAATGGGCCATCTTTTTTTGCCATAGTTCCAGAGTTTACAATAATGTATATTCAAAATGTGGCCCAGTGGAATGCTTCTCTGAAAATTCTTCCAATAGTGTACACAATGTAATTGTTTACTGTGGGGTTTCCCCGTGTGGGTTGCAACTGCACTCTTCTAAGTGAGAGGCTAGGTTTATAGCCTAGAGACAAAGGAAAGATTCTGGCTTCTTGTACGAAATAAATTAGCAGAAAAAGATGTTCATGTTCTCACCTGGGAATAGAATTAGATCATCATTCTCTCAGGTCTCCTACTATGACTGCTGTCAGCATTAATTGTCAGAACTAGTACAGTTTCCTGTAACAGCACTTCTTTAAAGGTTTTCCAGTTCAACTGAACTAGATTTATATAGTAGAGGTATATCTTTACAGGATGAAAAACATAACATGCAAATTTTTAGATATTTTTAATAGCATGAGAGGTTTATATTCTAATCATTTTACTTCTCTATGCAGATTTATTAAAACAACGTCATTTTCTTGCATTAATTATAAAGATTTTTAAAGAAGATTATGGAGAACACTAGCAGGGAGAATGTAAATGGGCTGAAATCTAATTCTGTAAACAAAGAAAATGAAAATTTTAGGTTCTACTCCTGGATAATTAATGAAAAATCAGATTTAGATAATTCAGGTAAGCCATAATACGTGTTTTAAGAAATTACTGGATGATTAATTGGCAAGCTCAGTTGGAACTATAGACCAGAATAATATGCATTCAACAGTTTCTCTTTAGTAGGAATTGTGTAAATTGTAAACCACTCCCGCAGCAGCAGTAAGATAAATTTCTATTAATATTAGGGTGTTAAATATATTAACAAAATATGTTGTAATATAGTTATTTTGATAGTAGAATGTCATGAGTTATCCTGCTTAAACTCTAAAGTTTTCTGTAAAGTAGGTATTTTTATACCTCCCATATTTTTTAAGGTGTGGAATCAAAGCTCAGGTAAAATGGCCAAAAGTTAATCAATCTGTATGACTTTATATCATGCAATAATAATCAAGCCATGAATATCTCTTGGAAAGTTTAGATGAATGTTGCTTAAGTGATGATGTAAGATGACCACAAGGCCAACAGATATAAATGCTTTTTGTCAACCTATGAGGCCTATGGAGCTGGACTCTAGTTCACTCCTCTAGTCTTGTCATGAGTCAGCTCTTGGATAAGCACATTTCTTGCTGTATAACAGAGAAGACTATCCAAAAACTCAAGGGGTTCTAATCATATTGATCAAATTATTAAGCATTATTTAGACATTTCCATAAGTTCTTTCCTATTATCCACCTATCCAGACATACTATTATGGTCTCTTGAAAATTTTTGCATTCAGCAAATCCACATTATATCTGAGAACTCAGAATCTTTCATCTTAAAAGTAGTCTGAGTTCAAATTCTGATTCCTTTCTATTTCTCCTCCTTTAGAGTTGTTTCAGAACAAGTCTGCTACCTGGAACCATGAATAAAGCCAATTCTTCAGTGGTGTCTGAGTTTGTACTGTTGGGACTCTGTAGTTCTCAAAAACTCCAGCTTTTCTATTTTATCTTCTTCTCTGTGTTGTATATGGTCATTGTGCTGGGAAATCTTCTCATTATCCTCACAGTGACTTCTGATACCAGCCTGCACTCCCCTATGTACTTTCTTCTGGGAAACCTTTCCTTTGTTGACATCTGTCAGGCATCTTTTGCTACCCCTAAGATGATTGCAGATTTTCTGAGTGAACACAAGACCATATCCTTCAGTGGCTGCATAGCCCAAATTTTCTTCATTCACCTTTTCACAGGAGGAGAGATGGTGCTACTTGTTTCGATGGCCTATGACAGGTATGTAGCCATATGCAAACCCTTATACTATGTGGTCATCATGAGCCGAAGAACATGCACTGTCTTGGTAATGATCTCCTGGGCTGTGGGCTTGGTGCACACATTAAGCCAGTTATCATTTACTATGAACTTGCCTTTTTGTGGACCTAATGTAGTAGACAGCTTTTTTTGTGATCTTCCTCGAGTGACCAAACTTGCCTGCCTGGACTCTTACATCATTGAAATACTAATTGTGGTCAATAGTGGAATTCTTTCCTTAAGCACTTTCTCTCTCTTGATCAGCTCTTACATCATTATTCTTGTCACAGTTTGGCTCAAGTCTTCAGCTGCAATGGTGAAGGCATTTTCTACGCTGGCTGCCCATATTGCAGTAGTAATATTATTCTTTGGACCTTGCATCTTCATCTATGTCTGGCCCTTTACCATCTATCCTGTAGATAAATTTCTTGCCATATTTTATACTGTTTTCACCCCCATATTAAACCCTGTGATTTATACACTAAGGAATAGAGATATGAAGGCTGCCATAAGGAAAATTGTGAACCATTACCTGAGGCCAAGGAGAATTTCTGAAATGTTACTAGTAGTGAGAATTTATCTTCATTAAGACAAAAATCCTTCAAATTCCTCAAGTCAGTATCCTGTCTAATATTTCAGTGTATTTTTGTGGTGAGTCTCAATTGTGAGAAAAGTAATGAAGAAAATAATGTAGAGAATATTTAACAGATATTAACAAATCTTTTTCCAGGTATCAAGCAAAAGTTAAATATCAAAAACATGGAAAAATCATTCTTTAGATTACTGCTTCTAGAAATAAAATATGGGCACTAGATGGATATTATGCATGCATTTACTGCTTTTGTTACAGGTAAATGTAAATATGATGAAAAAAAGCAATGAGAACCTAATTTCTTGGTGGGCATACATTCAAACATTTTTTAGGTTCTACATGTTTTCTTAATGGCATGCCATTAAGACATCTATATGGATATCTATCTATATGGATGACGTCTATATGCATAAATACTATTTAAGAATCTGAAACTGAATTTTCCCAGCTTAAGGGAATAAGGTATCTACTGAGGTTATCAGGTTATGAGACTCCTTCCCCAACATTGATTATGCCCATTCCATATAGTTTTCAAATGCTAACAATGCTTTAAAATATGGAATGATACATACTCAGAAGCTTCCATTTAAAATTTCTCATTTAAAGGGCTGTTCCTGATTGGCTAGACAATTCCAATTTCCTTTTAGATCATGAGTTGGAGAAAAAAGAGGAGAATCTAGAAAGCTGAACTATTTCAACACCAAGATTTTTATTTGTGCTTCTTCTCTTCTTGTTCCTATAGCACAGCTGCCAGTGTCTTAAGTTCAGGCATCCAGTGATACTCACCCTGCAGCAAGTTTTATTGCCAGCTTTGGCCTTAAATTCTCTGATCCCCATTTTCAGTTCACCTTCTGTGTATCAGTTCTGGTCCAGAGCAACCTAGAGAACCTCTCTCCATCTAGGGGACCTCATCCATGTCCTCTCCAAAGCGTTCTGAAACTCAACCTTGGGCAGGGCATCACGCTTTCACGTTTATTTTTTCCTTGGTTTCTCTCCTTTTGGCCTAAGGTATTGTTTTTTTTTTTTTCAAAGTAAACTAAAGACTATTCGGATTCAGATTTAATCAGTTTTTAAATGTACTCTTTTTTTTTAGCGATTGCTCTATATTATTATGAAATATCATTATATAAATAGATTCATGTAGCCATGACTACCACAACAAAGACAGACCGCTTCTATCACTTCAGTGAAACTTTCCTGTGCTGTCTCCCCTATGATCTTAACTCCTAGCAACCAATGATCTGTTCCTCATCACTGTTTTATTTTTTCATTTTAAGAGTGTTGTGAAATTTATTGACTGTTCAAATGGCCTTTTGTAGTAATTTTAAAAAAAATTAATGTGGTTGGATTTGTGAATCAATTTTGGTATAGGTATGTGTCAGATTTAAGAAATCCCTCTCTCTGTCAAGATCATAAAGACATTATTTAGAGTTTCTTCTGTAAATTAAAACATATTTTGCTTTTTATACTTAAGAATTTTATTCCTTTGTAATTAATTTTGTAGATGTTGGGAGATAGGAATCTATTTTTATATATTTGTAAATATGTAGACATCAGACTTGGTATCATTTATTTAATAGTTCATTGCTTTTCTCAATTTTCCATACTGCCTCTCTTATATTTTCAGCTTCAGTGTATAGATTTGTTACTAGACTCTGTTCTGTTTCATTAATTTATGTGCTTAGCCCTGGACCCATATTACAATGTTTTAATTTACTATAGTTTTAAAATAAATTTTAATGTCTGACAGGTTAAGTTCTCTCATCTTATTTTTCACAGTGTCTTTGTTAGTTTTATCCCCTTTATGTTCTGTAAACCTTTTACAATCAGCTTGTCAGATTTCTAAAAATATTATTTCAGGACTTTGTTGTAATTGCATTGGATTTACATATTAATTAATATACAATGATATTTATTATATTCATTGTATATCAATAGATTTATTAATTTGTAGAGAATTTACATCTTTTACAAATAAATGTCAAAAAAGTCAACAAAAAATTTAGGTAAAAATAAAACTTGCAAAACAACAAATATAAGCTTATGTATAAATTTAAAGATATACATTTAAAGAAAATTGTAAAACTTAACAGAAGGTAGTAATGAAGATGTACTACTAAATAAAATTTAAATAAGTGAAGATAGACACTATATTAATAGAAAAACAGTGTTGTAAAACATGTCAATAGTCTCTTAGGGTATTTTTTAGAGTTATTTTTTATTTTTATTCTCCTTGTAGTAACTAATTCTTATTACTAGTTGCTAATTATTTACATTAAGTATTCTTTGTTCAAATTACTAATGTGAGTTCTGTCTCCTGCCTAGACTCTGAAAGATACTGATACTTCTAAGTATTTTGAAGATATTGAAAAATCAAAAGCATTCAAAAACATCTCATCAAATATGATAATGAAAGAAATCAGGAGCTAGTTGAATCAAAAAATGTCAGTAGTTTCATTTGTTTATACACTAAAGTGAAATTCATCTGTGACATGCTTCAAAATATGAAAAATGATAGGGCCAGTTACAGTGGCTCACGCCTGTAATCCCAGCACTTTGGGAGGCTGAGGTGGGCAGATCAGCTGAGGTCAGGAGTTTGAGACCAGCCTGCCCAACATGCTGAAACCTCGACTCTACTAAAAATACAAAATTATGCGGTGTGGTAGCCCTTGCCTGTAGTCCCAGCCACTTGGGAGGCTGAGGCAGAAGAATCTCTTGAACCCAGGAGGCGGAGTCTGTGGTGAGCCAAGATCACACCATTGCACTCCAACCTGGGCAACAAGAGTGAAACTCTGTCTCAAAAATAAAAAGATAACATTTTTTTGTGAATGCTATCATTTGGTAAACTCACAGTTTAAAATTTATTTCTTGACTGTTTAATAATCACCATTCTGACTGGCTTGAGATGGTTGGTATCTCATTGTGGTTTTGATTTGCATTAGATGCTGGTGAAACTGTAGAGAAATAGGAACACTTTTACACTGTTGGTGGGAGTGTAAACTAGTAGTTCAACCAAGGAAGACAGTGTGGCGATTCCTCAAGGATCAGAAATAGGAATACCATTTGACCCAGCAATCCCATTACTGATTGTATATCCAAAGGAATATAAATCATTCCACTCTAAAGACGTATGCAGATGTGTGTTTATTGCAGCACTGTTTCCACAAATTTTTCAAATTACTCTACTTCCAATAAAAACAGAGACACATCTAATGCTAATAGCAATGCATTTCTAATTTAATTAATTCCAGTTTAAGGGAAACTATTAAAGGTACATAGCATTGAATTTCAGTTAGAATTGTAATATTATGTACTGTAGAATCTCATTTTAAATTTTATTTAAAATATAAAAAATAAAGCAACCATTAGTATAACTTGGTAATCAACCTTTTAATACACACATTTAAACTAATAGGATAATATTAAAAATTCTTTTTTTTTCTTTTCTGGTTTGCAGATCCTATAGGCTTTTTCTGCACTGCTGACAAATTGGGAGAGAATTACCTTTAACTGTATAAAATGGCAAAAGTGAACATTTTAGTAAATATGGAAATAGCTCTGGTCAATTGCCTGCATTGGTTATCAAAAACTAGGATTTGAACATTGATTATATTACTATTTTGTGACCTTGAACAGATTACTTAGCTTTTGATCAAGTCACCAATCTCTTCAGTATTTCAATTTTTAGCTATTTCTCTTAGAATAAATAAAATTAAAAAAAACTTTTTGGTTCACATAGGCTTTGTATGATATGGCTCCCTCTTCAAGATAACTCACCTCATGAGTTAATTAACACATCTCTCCGTGGCTAAACTAAACTCTATCATATTAGGGGATTTGTCTATGGTAGATGAATATATTCCTAAATTGCTTTTGATAATCTAAATATTTTAAAAAGTAAGAAGAGATGCTACCAAACCCAGGACAGACTTATAGTTGTTTACTGAGATCTCAGAATGTGAGTTACTTCTGCTATGCTTATGAACTAAGCTGATGAGCAATCCTTCAGACAAGGGGCAGTCTTTCAGACAATGCCCAGCTCAGAGGCTGTTCAAAGGAGCTGTTATGATGCCCCAGGCATTACAGAGAAAGGGTGTCATGGCTAGTGGAGATAGGGCCTAAAAAGGCCAACAGGATAAAAGATGAAAAAGCTTTAGTTCCATTGACTAAGTCTAAACAACTGGCAATAGTGTGAGTCAAGTTAGTCACAGGACAAGGAGGGAAGTATCAGAGGTACACTTTCCAGAACACAGAGTAAAAGAGTTCTCCAGGAATAACCAGGGTAGGTGATTGCAAAGGCCCTTCAGGGTGGCTTTTAGAGGAACATAAAGGTGAGGGTGTGGGTGGAATGGATCTGTCAGCAGAGTCAAGATCCAGTATTTCACTATAGGTAAGTTTTACTTTTAAACAAATTTACATTTCATCATAAATATTTTTCCATGGAGAAGATTCTTGCCATGTTATATGTTGTATTAGCAATATCTTGAAATTTCAATATATTTAACTTCATATCAAGTACATGAAGGATATCATAAAACTACTAACATGTCAAAAAATGGTTGTAGAAAACCTCTCAACTCTGTCTTGTGATGAAGTTCTCACCCTTAAGAAATAAGATTTGTTAATCCATAACTTTCTGAACATTTATAGTTTGGTTCAGATTTTTTAAAACTCTTTTACTCTCCATCATAAATATGGTCCTTAGGGAGTTTACTTGTCATGATAATCTATAGAACATCATATTAGTTGCACATTGAAGACATGCACTGATTAGAGATGTGAGTAAAAATTGACATACGTCAGAGGACTCAAGATGGCGCTGTGAGAACAACCCAGGATTGAAGCCCTCGCTGGACGCATGGAGAGGGTGAGTCAGGGAAGCATTTCCAGATGGATCTTAGTTGCCCACAGAATGGGGAAATTGCCAGGTATAAAAGAGACGCAGGACACCAGGCAGAGGTCTTGGCTGGTGCAGCCAGCAGCCAGTGTGGTTCCGGCCTGTGCCGGAGCGCAGAGGTGCTCCACAGTGCTCCATACAAAAGTGCACTGTTACGGGTGCCCTGTTGAACCGGCAAACTGAGACCCGAGAGGGCTGAACTTGAGACTGAATGGGTCTTGAACTCTGACCCAGCCCAGGAAATCCCAGGGACTCAGCGATTGGGGGAGCGCAGTGCGACAAACAAAACGGAGATTCCAAACGCTCCCAGTGAAAAGGTTTTTTTAAAGCGCAGCTCTGTGGGGGAGGGGTGTCAGCCATTACCGAGGCAATCAGCACCTACTGAAGTACAGGCCCATTGCTGAGGCAGCTTGCCATTGTGGAGGCAAACCGGTACAACAAACAGACTCGGCCACAGGGCGTAGCCTGTGGCAACAGGGCGGAGACAACAGCAGAAGGGCAGAGCCTGCAGCAAAAGGGCGAACCTAACACCAGCAGGGTGGAACCTCGGCAGGCAAAAAATGACTAGATTGCCTCCTAACTGGGCAGGACTGTGAGGTGGACATTCACAAGGAAAGCCCAAACCCGCCCCCAGACAGAGCATATGAAAGAAAAAGAAGTTTTCTTACGAGTTAGGTTGCAGCAGAACTAAACATAGCAGCCTAGCAGCCCTGAATGAACAACAGAGCTCACAGCTCAGCACTAGAGCTCCTACAAAGTACAGACTGTCTCCCCAAGCAACTCCCTGACCCCTCTATATCCATAAGACTGACATTTGGCACACATCATCCTGGAACAAAGATAGCAGAAAAAGGAACTGGTAGCATCCCTCGCTGTTCCGCAGCTGCTATAGGTACACCCCAGACAAGCAAGGCCTGGAGTGGACCTCAGCAGTCATACAGCAAAGGGGCTGGACTGGTAGAAGGAAAACCAAGTAACAGATATACTCCATCATCAACAATCTGGGTGTCCACTCAGAGATCCAATCGAAAAGTCAGCAACTACACAGATGACAGGTGGATAAATCCACAAAGATGGGAAGAAACCAGCGAAAAAAGGAGGAAAACACCCGAAACCAGAACACCTCGCCTCCTAGAAAGGACCAAAACTCCTCACCAGCAAGGGAACAAAGCTGGATGGAGAATGACTGTGATGAAATGACGAAATTAGACTTCAGAAGGTGGATAAAGAGAAACTTTTGTGAGCTAAAAGAACATGTTTTAAATCAACGCAAAGAAACTAAGAAACTTGAAAAAAAATTTGAGGAAATGATAACAAGAATGGATACCTTAGAGAGAAATATGAATGAATTAAAGGAGCTGAAAAACACAATACGAGAACTTTGCGAAACATGTGCAAGTTTCAATAGCCGAATTGACCAAGCAGAAAAAAGAATATCAGAAGTCGAAGATCAACTCAATGAAATAAAATGAGAAACCAAGATCAGAGAAAAAAGCGCAAAAAGGAATGAACAAAGTCTCCAAGAAATGTGGGACTATGTGAAAAGACCTAACCTACATGTGACAGGCGTACCAGAATGTGATGAAGAGAATGAATCCACCTGGAAAATACTCTTCAGGACATTATCCAGGAAAATTTCCCCCACCTAGCAAGACAGGCCAACACTCTATTGCAGGAAATACAGAGAACACCACAAAGATATTCCGCAAGAAGAGCAACCCCAAGGCACATAATCGTCAGATTCAACAAGGTTGAAATAAAAAGGAAAAAACTAAGGGCAGCCAGAGAGAAAGGTCGGGTAACCCACAAAGGGAAGCTCATCAGACATACAGCAGATCTCTCGGCAGAAACT